AAAAAAAAAAAAAAAAAAAAAAAAAAAAAAAAAAAAAAAAAAAAAAAAAAAAAAAAAAAAAAAAAAAAAAAAAAAAAAAAAAAAAAAAAAAAAAAAAAAAAAAAAAAAAAAAAAGGGAAAAAAAAGAAAAAAGAAAAAAGAAAAAAGGATACCAGTACTATATGTAGAAAAAAATACCAGTAGAAGAACAGTTGCAGTATACTCATCTTACCTTGATTTAGTGCTAAAGCTGGAGCATAAATAACAATACCAGTGTATAAAGTCTAGAGGGAGAAAGAAGATTAAAGATCAAAATAAATGTAGATTCCTGGAAAGGTGATAGCTTCCTGAGATTATTTCTTTTCAAGCATTTAGGTAGTCTATATTTCCTAAATTTGTAACTGTTGGCAAATAATTCCAATTAGAAGACGAATGACTGAGATTAATAAAATCTGCAGTCTCACAGTCCAGTGTTATTAAAACAAATACCAGGGGCTCTTAAATACAAAATCACTCTTCATCTTCTCCTGGATTTTATAATTAACTTATTTTATTCTTTTAAAACTGCAAAAGCAAACAAGAGGAAAAGGAAGTTAATGAAGTTTACACATGGTTTGCCAAGGAACCTATTACTATCTATTTTCTCCATCTTGGGATCAATATGCCTTTCAGTACACAGCTTTAATGCATTTAAGTAAGAACACAAAATACAACAGCAGCTTGTTGTTATGGACAGTGTTATAAGGAATTATAACCTTCATCCTGTAAGATGAAGCCACACATCATTATCAGCAGATTTACATTTTCAACCACAATAAAGATACAGAAAAATCAAGGAGCTACTCTATCTACTTTTGTGGGCACAATGGGATTCATACACCGCTATCCTCTACAATTTCTTTGTGGGATATTTTTTAATCCTGTTTGCTTTTTTATCACTGTTATTACTGCCCCAAGTTCAGCTGTGATATGGGTTAGGAGAATACAGCTCACAATGTGCAGATGACTTCTGTGAAGGTCAGGGGTCTTTCAAAAGATCTAAATCACAGACAGGTCCTGAGCTGACCTGCATCATCTTTCCATGGCTGGACTCATTCTGACTTCCTGATTTTCAACAGCGGGACTTGGGCATGGCAAAACAGTAGAATCAGATGTCATCCAGGATTCAGCAAGCCTCTGCCCTTCCTGCAAGTGCAGAGTCTGCCCTAGGCACTGGTGGTAAACCAGAGCAAGATTGCTAACCACTGGATTACTTGCTGTGGCTTTTGAGCAGATCAAATCCAGCCCCCAAGGCAGAGCTCTACCAATGGCCAGTGGCAACACTGGGGACAGAGCCAAGAGGTAAATGGAAGCAGCAGTACTCTAGCTATAGAAGGAAATTAGTATGGAGAAGCTGCTTCATCCAGCCTAACCTAATTGTGCTGCCCCCGTGCTGCACACCTACTACAAGCACATGCCAGAAAGGATAGCGGGGCCATGGGGGAAATAGTTATTCCTACCTGTATTCTACTCCCTGCTTCCATGTGTGCATGCTTGTTTCTCCCATTGCCATGAGTCCTCTCTAGATTTTCATATATAGCTTGTATTACAAGAAAGCTGCCACTCCTGACCAGTCCCTGGTGAATATATCCTCAGAACTAGAGGCATCACTTCACAGACAGCTGTAATGCTTTGGATGCAATCAAGCCAATTTGTTTCCTTCTACTGCTAATTCAAAGGATTCAGCAGGAGACCTTATGGTTTTCTTATACACAGCAAATAAGCATCAGAACCATCAGATATTAAAATTTGTCACAACTATGGTCACATTTTGGTGTAAATTTAAATAGGACTGATATAATCTTTCCAATTCTTCAGTAGGTTGTTGTTTTTGTTGTTGTTGTTGCTGTATTACTACATATCCTTTTCTTTTTCTTTTTTTAAGTATATCCCAGTACTCACAGAAGAGTTAAAATTACACCATTAAAATGTTGGGAGGTTTTCTCTCCTCACAGTGGTTAAGCTGCGGTGCTGTCAACGCAGAGACCCAGGTTCGATTCCCAGTCAGGGCCACTCCCCAGGCAGATGGAGCTCGTTAGCCCTGTAAGGCAATCCATCTACATCCTGAGGACCTCGCTGCCACCGTCCAAGCTCGCTTGCCCCGGCAGATGAACCTCAGGATTAAAGGGTGGGCTCAGTTCCGCGCACACTGTGTCTCACCTAAAAAATCCAATGCGCAGGCTGGAAGGTGTAAAGACCTTCCCCGGTTCTTCGTTCGTGAAGACTGGCCATTATCTATTATTTTATTTATTCAGATAAAGTTGTTATTGCTTAACAGAGAAAGCCATGTACAGATCTTTAGTTAATCTCCTTGAGTACATATTTAAGTTGCATAGAATTATTTTTCTGATTTTTGAAAGCAAAGATTATGCTTAGCTTGTTCCAACTTATGCAACTGTGATGTCTTTATATATGCTGATGAAAGAGTGTCAGGTTTCACACATGCTAACACTCTAGTTTTCCAATGGGCTTGTGTATCCATAAATGCCAGCTAAGCAGCACTGCTCAAATAAGTAATGAGCACTGCATTGGGAACCATCTTAGTAGTGTAACTGTGTGACTGGCCTATAAATTCTGGTGTACCTTAAAAAATTTTAAGAATGGACAAAAAGAAAGCTTGTAACTTAAAAAGCTTTCTGATTGCATATTCATTCTTACTCCGAATTACCCCAGAAGTCAACTTCAAAATTGTGAAAAGAACACATTTTTGTTTCTGGTGCATTTGGCACACACTGACGTTTAAAAGTTGTGGTCTCCTACTGACTCCCTGAATGGACTAGATACAGAAAACAGTACCAGCAATAATTTCAGGGACTGCTTTAGTTTAACATTCCCAAGGGCAGTAATTTTCTACTTCTCAGTTTGAAGACACCTAGTTTTTCTCCAGTGGTGGTGGTGGTGGTGGTGCAAACCCTTGTGGAGTAAATGACAGCTCCTGACAGCTTGTTTTATCACCTTTCACAGACCCTTGAAAATTAGTCAGACTTCAAGAATCCACACACCAGAGGATGAAAACTGCCACTGTAGATAATTGGGACACGTTTACATTTTGAACCTATCATAAGTTTCTCCAGCAGGCAGGCAAATGACTGCTCTTCACACTGCAGTGACTGGTCACTCGTCTCTTAGCAGGGTGCTAATGTCAAGTGACTGCTAAGGGTATTCAACAGTGCACAGAGACCCAAGAGGCAGGTAGCCCCGCATCTGCTCCGCACCTCACTGCTTTGGAGCAGAAAGGGCTTTGTTTCTCCTGCTCCCGGCCACCCAGGCACTGTGGTAACCTCATCAACTGCTCAGAGAAAACAGCCAGTTACACTCGGCCAAGTAATTCTGGTGGCCCTGAGGACCACAGAACAGCTTCAAAGTTTACTTGCCGTTTGTATAATGAAGAGGATTGTTCCACAGAGGCGTAGATATTTATTAAATCGAAGTTCTAAATACTGCAAACGAAGAAGAAAAAACAAATGTTTATATTGAAATTTGTCACTATTGATAGGAATGAATCTGTTACTTCACTCAAATGAAGAAATGAGCAGTAAAGAAAGAACATGGCATTATTTTTACATTTGCATGAATGGCCAAAACTCATAGAGTCACCTTGATGAATAGCTCTTCCAACTTGACTTGAAATTTTTTTTTACAGACCTCACCACAGGGTAATAGCACACAAGCAAGGGAAGTAGACATAAACTAGTCAGTATAGAGTGGAGTATAGAGAAAAGACCGGGATATACTATCACAAAATCATTGACTATCCTGATTTGGAAGAGACAAAGATCCACAAGAATCAAGTCCAACTCCTGACTCGGCATAGGGCAACCTAAAAGCTGACAGTGATGTACCAGCAAACAACAAAACTCAGTTGTGTTGTGAAATCAGAGAGAAAAAGAAAACATTGTGGCTATTTCTAAGTCTAAGTCAATTTGGAAACTCTGGCATATTATATGTATCCATCTAAACTGGTGCAAGAGAGGGCAGAAGGTTTTCAACGGTCAGTGACTTCTTCCCATGGGAATCTCACAGTTTGCACTGCCCGAGGCAGCCTGTCATATTCTACCAGTAAGTCAAAATTCAGCCTTTTGTGAAACAGGAATCCTCATTTTTTCTATCCAGCCTGGGACAGCACAATCTCTGAATGAGTTTGTTGTGCTGTAGGACAGATTTCTTCCCACCATCTGTCCTAACAACCTTCTTGGTGTGTTGTTGTACAAGAGGCATCTCATTTGCCTGACAAACTGTTCAATCCACACAAACACTGAAGCATCTCAAAGTGCTCACTCATGAACTGAGCATTTAAAACATGATCTGTGAGCATGTCCACACAAGGAAGCAATCCTGAACCCCTGGACACACACAAAAAGTTGTTAGAACTCTGAACTCTGTCCAGAAATAGAAGATGTATCTTTTATAGGTGCATTAGTATGGTTTAACCCCAAGATAATCAGTGAGCTTCCAATCATAGTTATAAACCTTTATTTAAAAGAGCCCTATATAAGTATCATCATGACAGTCCAAAGATTAGCAGTTTAAAACACATTGGAAGCCACTAGAGACTTCTGTTCATGGATTCTTATCTAAATCTACCAACAGAAATCTTGTTTTCAGCCTCCAGTGCTGCAACACCTCTGTTCAGTGTAATAAAATGCTAAAGACCAAAGTAGCTAGTCAAGGACTTTCACCTGCACCAATGCTCCTTTCCCAAAGTCCTCTGTCAAAAGGGCAGTTTGCCTCCAAATCTGCAGCTACGAACTACCTTCATGCAGGAAGATAAAGAGGTTGCACCAGTGTTCTGAATCAGAAGAAAATCCTGACCAGATGCTTCCCCACCCCAAAACAGTCAGACTTGACCTGTGATTGTCCCACCACTCCAGATGTCTCTGCCCTGATGGCTATAGGGCAGAGACCTGCATGCTGAAGACCAGCTCAGCCTTATTTTGGTGGAAGTAAGAAAACTCTCACAGACACAGAGCACTTCCTTACCTCCCTGTATATGCACGATGGAGAAGACATTCAGTGATGTAAAAAGCCTCAGGTGGCAAGGAGTGTCCCTAAAATCTCTAGGAACAGCACAAATACATATTCTGCCAAAAGGGGACTTTCGTGGTTACACCTGAGCTTAGAAACCAATCTGAAGGGAGCATGATGTGAGAACTCTGGTTCCTGTAGTAGATGCTCTTGTGCTCTGGTCTTGGTATATTAATTACACATGATTAATGACATGTCACCATCCAAGCTGCATGAAGATTAATCCACCTACTGAACTGAGAATCTGGAGTGAGGAAACAAATCTGGCATGATGCACAGCTCCTGAGCCAAAACAGCAGGGCTGAGCACCTCCTCTCTGCAGAGACAGTGTGGGCAGACTTGGGGACAGAGCCAGTTGCAGCCTGTTCTCAGAACTGTGGTGATACAGAACAGCAGAGTGCAGGGGATTTGGGGGAAGAGATGGAGGACAGACATGTAGAAGCAGGCACGAGATCCCCCCATGCTCCCTAAAGGCTGGGGAAAGGTTCCTTCCACTCAACCTTACCTCATAGGTGCTGGTAATGCCCAGCTTGTAGAAGACGGGCAGGAAGATCTCGGCACTGCACAGCACCACCAGGCCGTAGGTGATGGCAAAGATGCAGAAGATGGCACCATAGCGATAGATTTCGGCAGGGGTGCCCAGCACAGTGACGGCTGACATGAAGCTGGCAGTGAGGGACAATGCAACTGGGAGGGCACTCATGCTGCGGCCTGCCGTGAGGAAGTCCTTTGATGTCTTCTGCCCCCCTCCCACGAAGGCATAGTATACCCCAATGACGGCTGAGATCAGCAGCATGGCCGCAAAGACCACATAGTCCCAGACGGTGAAGCTCGCCATTCTACCAGATGGATTCACCCTTGGAGCTAAGGATCTGCCCCAAAATCAGAGAGACAGCTCAGGGCCGGCACCGGGCGGCCTGAGCAGGAGGAAGCAGATGGAGACGGGCCCCCGGGGAGGTGCTCCCCGCCGGGACCGCGTCAGGGGCAGTGCAGTGCGGTGCACACCACCGGGACAGAAGCGGAGAGGTGCTATGCGCTGCGGTGTCCCCCGACGGGGCAGGTGCGGAGCGGTGCGATGCGCACACCGGGACAGAAGCAAAGAGGGGCGGGCCGTTGTCCGCCGCCGGGACAGTGCGGTGCGGTGCGGTGCGGTGCGGTGCGCCCCGCGCAGGTCTCCGCGGTGTCTGCGGGGGCGGGAGGGGGAGCGGGCTGCGCAGGGAGCGGCAGTGCGAGTGCCGGAGCCGGGACAGCGGGCGGGCCTTATACGGTACCGGTGCCCGCTCCTCCCCGTGGCGGTGCGCGCCCCCGCGGAGCGAGAAGGGGCGGCGATCCCCGCAGCGCCGTCCTGGGCGAGCCATCCCGGGCAATTGCAGCCCGCCCCGCGCCTCCGGGCCCTGGGGCGCCCAGGCTTCGGGATGCCAAGGCAGAGCCCCGCCTGAACGGGGTTCCACCGCAAACTTGGATCGCCGTCCAGGGAGGGCTTTTGGAGGGAAGAATTTCACTTGACATTTCCCCAGGGTAGGGAACCTACCCTACCGCGTTAGCATAAGCCACCGTCTCTCCAAATGAAGAAGGTGAAAATATGATTTAATATATACACTTCCATGGGTTGAGCAATCTGGAAGGTAACTCACTGAATGAGATTTACCAAGGCAAGTTGCTGAACGCTGAAGTTGTGTAACAGGGAAGCCCCACTACCTGCACTGTGCTCACATTTTACTTAAGAGTTTTCAACTAATTGCAGGTTCAAGAGTCAAAGTACACAGGAATATCAGAAATGGAACTTCACGTATCTTACTCACAGAGGAATACATCAAAAACTCCTATGGGGTTTGAAAGCCATGGATGCCAAGTGATGGAGATGTGCCCATTCCTATAACTAGCAGCACACACAGGACTAACTCAGCAAATACCACATTCAGCTACTTTGCCATACATCAGCAATCCCAGATGTGGAATGAAGGTGAAAGGATGCCAAAGTTGACTTAGGTGTGCTTGACAGCAGCACAGCCATATACAGCATCAGGGCTCAGAAGCTTTGCACAGTCGCTTTCATCTTGAGCTGTGCACTGGCACAATGCTATGCTAGAGGTGATTTCCTAGGAAAGGTCAGTACCAGCTTGAAGACTAAAAATTCCTCTGTTTCCCTTCATGGAAGTTAGATCAAGTCTCCTTCATGCCCAGCCTTTCCTGGCTCTTAACCACAGCTGGAATTACTGGAAGCAGTCTTTGCTGCAAGTGATCTGAGTTCACCTCAAGGCGCTCTGACCTGCCTGTATCTGACCCTTCTGAGACGTGGTTTTCAGCAGCCTTCTATATCTTAAAACAGAAATGAATGATCAGACACCCAACAGCCAAAATCCAGATCACGGAGCACTTCTCTCTCCTGGGAGCTCTGGATTTGGCAGGCCTTTTGGAGTTACTTCTGAGTGCATGTTGAAAGGAGAGGGTGCAGGTGGAAGTCTGATCTGGCAGAATTATTAAGCTAAGCTGTGAAATCATGTCTGTGTTGGTCTGGACTCTAGATGCCTATCTGGGAGTATAAATGTCCCTGAACAAACAGAAGATGTCCACTGTGGTGCAAGTGGCATGTCCTAATCTCACCATGGCAGGTTAGGGCATCAGTCTCTCTGGCCCAATTACTCTCTAATTACTTATACGATGAGTAACAGCTTCCAGATGTCCTGCTGAGGAAAGAGCGAGAAAGAAACTTATTCACTACACCTACCAATTAGGATTTGATTTATTGATCATCTGAGATGGTTGCCCTAAATGAGCTTTTGACAATGTGAAAGATGTAAAACCTTTCCAGCAAAATTTCATTCAAAACTAGAACCTTCCCTCTCAGTGCAATGAACTCGTGTTGTCTGAAAGAAGTATTAGTTGTCAAAAAACACAACTCCTTTCTCAAAGGAAGGGTATAAACAAACTCTTGCCCAGACCCACTGCTTATGCTGCTCAGAACTTCCTGCTCAGTGTCCCTTGTTTGCACTCTTTCAGGAGTCATGTTGCTGAAACCATTCAAACAATAACATGCATTTAAAGTATTAATTACACAGGATTAATACAGTTTTGATTTTGCTTCTTTATCATTTTTGACATAATGCAAACACAGCAAGTGATAATGGATTGGAAAACAAACCATGTTTCTTAACTGTAACACAGGCAGCTATGAGGAAATGCACATCACCGTGGTTTCAGGCAGCATCTTTGGTTCTTCTAACAGTAGTGTTAAGCAAATTGTCTTTCAAATATCATCATGACCAATATGGCAAGAAAGGCTGGATGTGTTTCCACGTTGGAACCAGCAGTAAATCTATGTGATGCCCAAGTCCTAAATCAGAGCAAATGGTCCTGGAGAACATGACTAAACGTTTTTCTTCTGGATTTTTCACACACAGAATCAAATTAGCTGTGTGGGGTTGTACTGTGTAATAGAGACAGAACTGCAGGTATTTGCTTTTTCTCATTGCTACAATTAGACATTTAAATGTCTTCAGAGCATATTTTATTGCCTTCTTGTAGCACCCTGCCCCATCTCCTCTGGGTCTTATGTGGTCTCTCATGTCACTGCCTCTGTGACTCTGTTCTTGTGAGATCCACTGACATGCCTGAGATTCAGTGTTTAATAGCACAAAGTGTAAGATTCACATTTCACCCTCAAATTAAAAAGGCCATGGATCTGACTAAACAAACCCCAGACTGCCCTAAGGGGTCCAAACGGTTCCTTTCTTGTGATCGTGTTGGGCTCATTTCCATTACTGGACACCTCTGTGAGGTGTTACTGGAAGTGTCTCTATTGCATGGAAGGACATTCCCTCCCTGCTCCTTTTCATGTGAATGGACCACTGCACTGGGAGACCGGTGGGATGGATTTCCTTCTATAGACGAGAAAAATATATTGAGCCCTGCACTTGGAGAAATGTTGCCCACCTCTCTGAACTAAGTTGTGGAAATACATTTTGAGTTCTCCTACTTGTAGGCAAATGTGGGCATGGGCAAAACAAACTGTAAGTGAAGTAGGATAGCACTTGGAGGCTTGGTGACCACTGTTCAGCAGTGATGCAAGACCCTTTGCAATTTGCCCTGGAAACCTGGGATCTTTCCAACTTCCGGTAATTCCTTGCTTGAGTATGCAGTTTCAGACTGTGTGGGGTTCAGCTGTACTTGCACCAGCTGAGCTCAGTTTGCAGATGAAGAGCAGTTCATGCTCAGTTTTACTCCTGTAAAATTGAGTACCAGGAACCATGTCTGGAAGACTGGACTCTGTTCTCTTCTGCTTTCACTTTGGAAACCGTGCCAGAGAATGACTGGCTGTTGATAAAAACAATCAAAATAATTTCGAAAAAAAAGTCTGCAAAAACCAATTTTTGGCCTTTTTGTACTCAATTTAGCCTTTTCTGGGAACACTGCTATGATTTGTCATTTTGAAAAAAACCTGTTTATTTTTGTTTGGATGATTTGTTAGGAAATCAGGACTGTGGGATTATGCTCTCTGTGTATACATATATGTATGCATGTGGAAAGGGTTTCTCCTTCATCCAATGACTACAGCACAACATGACCAAATCCTCAGAGAGGCTGAGGCCTCAGAGAGATTAAAGAGCTACCAGTTGCATCAATATAGATGGGAGGAAAAAAAAAAAGAGAGATCCCACAAATGTTCTTGTTGAAAGGAGGACTGCAGCAGGAACGCTGAACCTCTATTAGCTAACGGTGAAACCATTTCAGAGGAAGACTTTCAAAACACCCAGCTGCAGGCAAAGTTGCCCATCTTCCTAAGTACTAAGATACAGAGATATGGGGATCCAGGTTCCATCTACTCCTCTGTTCATGGAGCTACCTGATAAATTTCCTTTACATCACAGTTATTGTTAGGAACAACGTATCAAAATTAATCATTGACTCCTAATTAGACAGTCTGATTTTTTCTCACAATGCAATCCTTCAAGTCAAAATGCACTTCTTTTACTTATGGTAGATTTGGATTGCAGCAACTGTTTCTTGCACAGCATCACTAATCATCTTGAGAAGCCTGCTTGCATTTGGAGGTAAAGGAAGCTGATTTCTGATGGTGTTTCTAATTTCTGAAGATCCATTAGTGTTTGGCTGTACCCTAATCTCTTCTTCTTGCCGTGCTTGTCCGCACACTGCTGTTTTGAAATGCTTAGTATAGTTAAGCCCATCACCATCACTGGCCTTGCTTCTTCTCTCCTGGTTTAATGCTACTGTCGTGGTTTAATCCCAGCCAGCAGCCAAGTACCATGCAGCCCTCGATCACTGCCTGCTTCCACTGCCACTGTGGTGGGGAAGTGAATTGGAAAAAAAAGAAAAGTAAAACTTGTGGGTTGAGATAAGAACAGTTTAATGAGTGAAACAAGATAAAGTCTAATAATAATTATTATAACAATTATAATAATTACAATAATAATTTGAATGGAAAGGAGAAGGAGTGGGATAAAATCCAACGGAAACAAGTGATGCACAATTGCTCACCATCTACAGACAGATGCCCAGCCTGGACCTGAGTAGCATCTTCTGGCCAACTGCCCTCAGTTTATATAATGGGAATGGAGTTCTGTGATATGGAATATCCCTTTGATCAGTTTGGATCAGCTATCCTGGCTGTGTTCCCTCCCAGCTTCTTGTGCATCTGCTCACTGGCAGAGCAGGGGAAACTGAAAAGTTTGTGACGTAGGGTAAGCACAACTTAGCAACAACTGAAACATCCGTGTGTTACCAACACTAGTCTCATACTACATTCAAAATGCAGCACTGCACAAGCTACTAAGAAGAAAATTAACTATCCCAGCCAAAACCAGGGCAGCAACCTTAGAGGAATCTTCCACAGTTTTATTTAGTGATTTTCATACCTGTCTGTTTAATTAATT